GCATAACAGTTGAGATTATTACTATGGATTAATATATATACATATCATGAAGTGGAATAGGGGTGTCAAAAATAAATTCTCGAGTCTTATTCAGATCAAACCCAAAAATGGCATACCATCAACTATCTCAATTTGAATCCGACCCGATTAGGGAAATAGGTCATAGAACCAAACCTGAACCCAACTTGGTTTGAATTTGAGTCAACCCAACATGACCCATTGACCTGAGTTAGGGTGACTGCAAGTGTGTCGAGCGGATGTGCAATCAAGGCCACGAAGTGAGCTGCGAGTTTACACATTTAAGCGAGCAGGCTCGGGCGAGCACGTATAGCATGCAGGCGAGCACATGGGGGTGACTGCAAGCGCGAAGAGCGGAAAGTCCACAAAGCGGACATGCATGAGTGCTCTATGTGTGATGGAAGTCGTGCACAAGTTGGTGGGTTGATTTCGGGTTTTGGGTTGACCCCAACTTGTCTCGAATTTACAATCAAGTCAAGATTTGAAACCCAAACTTCACCCATTTTTCAAATGGGTTGACCCAAACCTAAAATTTGGGTTGGGTTCGGGTTAATTTTTTTGGTCGTGTCAAATATTGGCACCCCTAAGTTTGAATGAGAGCCTTCTAAGGGCTAGGGAAAGTCTTTGTTTAGGATGAGTTATCATAAGGTAAGTACCTCCTCGGGTCAAGGTCTATTAAGGTAAGTTCCTTCATTAGCAAAACCTATATAAGGTATGTGCTTTCTTAGTCAATCTTCTTGATCGAGCTCCTTTAAGACACGCTTTACTGGTCGTCTAAGAATTGTTTGTACCCACATACTAGTTTATGCATTTAGCTCCATGATTCTCTTACTACTTTGCAAAGAACCTTGCAAATAAGACAAGAGGACATGTAAAAAAAAAGTTATCATTTGTAGTGAACAATAAAAGAGAAAAGTAAATTACAAGTTTATATCTTATTTTTATTCCTACTTGGGGATAGGGCTGCAAGCAAACCAAGAGTTCGACGAGCTACTCGATGTTATGTTCGTGTAAAATTCGTTTGTGATCGTTTAACTAACTAAATAAATAAACTTGAACAACATTTCAAATACTCAATCATTAAATAAACAAGCTTGAACACTAATGTGTTCGGTTCATTTATGTTCATGAACAACATCATCTAAAGTTTGTGAACAAGCTCGATATTAAGCTCGATAAAAGCTCGAATAGAGAGAAATGCAATAGGTAAGCTTTATTTAAGAATATATTTATGTAGATTAATCATATTTTTATTTTAAATACACAACTACTTTTATTATAAATTTAATTTTCTGAACAAAAGACATTTCACATTTGTCCATGTTCGCTAGATTGTTTGTTTAAGATGTTCATGAACAAATTTAATGTTTATTTGTTCAATAGATTATTTGTTAAATATGTTCATGAACATAGCTTGTTAAGGCCTGTTTGTTTAAAGCTCGATAAGCATTAAACGAACAGAACATGAATCGAAAACGAACCAAACACGAACACCCTTAAATTAAACGAACTAAACATGAACACAAATAATAAAGCTCGAATCAAACACGAATTGAACTTGAACAAGCTAATGATAAACGAACTCAAACATGAACACTCACATACTCGGCTCGGCTCGGTTCGTTTGAAGCTCTACTTGGGGAAGAGAGCCTTACCTAAGATTCTCATAATGATATCAATTTGATTTTTTGTACAATACCTATAAATAGAGAAAGAGAGGGGGGTTGTGGAGCTGTTTAGATCACACTCTTCTCTTGGATAATTGCAAATTGCAAAATGCCCTTCTATACAAGTGCAAGGCTGTAAAGGCAAGGAGGCATAAGTTTAACTAGCTAGTATAAATGGTGATGAAGAAAGTGTTACCTGGTCAAACAAGGCAAAAATAATTTGATCCTCTAATTTTGCAACGGTGCCCTCATTGAAAGGCATTTTAAACATGACTTGATGTATAAGCATGTTGGCCAAGACATTATGGTAGTCAGCGAAATACTTGAGGTGATTGAGCTAATACCTAAAGTGTTTGACTCAATGCTTTGAGGTGGCTGACCAAGCAACTCCAATTTAGCTCCCTCTAGAGAGTAAGAGAATGCTCCTACCCAATTAGTCCAATTTTAAGAACTATTTAAAATATGCAACTCATTAGCTCATCATACCATGATTTTAGTTACAAGTGGGAATGACAAGTTTCCTCGATCTTATATTAAAAGAGGTTGGGTGGCAAGGATTCATCACTAGAGGTAAGAGGAACTTTTTTTTTTTTTAAGATACATATCCAAGGGCTTGATGTCATTGCTCTTAGTGAACCTAGAATTCACTTTATCATGATGTGTTAGGTTCATCAATCAAGCAAGTTGGGCCCTAGCCTTTACTAAGTGGGAACTTAGTTTATACACTAAGTTGCATGACATTTATGCCCAAATCATTGATATTTCTCTTAGTTTGTTGGATAATAATTTCCTAAGCCTAACTATTGACTCAATGGGGCAAGCATGACTTTGATGAGTTAAGTGGAGGGTGCCGCAAGTATGTCCAATAATCTTTTGTTGAGAGTTCCTCAACCCTTCTCCATCATTACCTTTTTTTATATTTATGAGCCTACTTTGCATCCATCAAGCCATCTAAGCACCATAGTTTAAAGGTTGTTTTAGGGTGAGTGTTAGCTTTAAAGGAGGGTCTTGCTCACTTCAAGACCTAGTTCAAAGAAGAGAAGAAGAGGACCATTACCTTCAAGAAGGCATGCCCTTCTATAGTTGTGGGTGAGGACACTAACTCACTATATAAAAATGTTCACAATATAAAGGATGAGGTAGTACTAATTTGCAAGTTTTTAAAGTCATGGCAAGCACGTTAATTCCTGGCTGGACGGAAGTTCGTCCTATGGTGCTTGATTAGGAATGGACTAGTATCCCCATGTATCCTTATTGATCTAAAATGTAAGCATTTTCTTGGGGGCAAAAGATATAAACTCATATCAAGTAATTAAAATATGTAAAAATTTTAACTTATATAAAGTTGTTTTTATTATGAACGATTTGCAAAGTTAATGTGTAAATATGGAATTTGTTTATTTATTTACCTACGACGACTCATCATTATTACATGCGGTGACTCCTCTTTTTTGGTTCGCCTACCAAATGTGAGTGCATCTTCTTATAATGATGAGAGATATGTGAGATTTGCTAATATATGGCATATGTGACTTTGACTCAAATTTTGAATCACTTATCTTTATAAATACTCTATTGCCCTCATGCTAGGGCATTTATTTCCTCATTTCCTCCATGGCCTTCTCTCTCTTTACTTGCTCTCTTACTCTTTAGAGATGGCTATTTTTCAAAGGTGCCAAAAGACTTCATTGATTCTAAATACAATCATTCTTCATAAGTGACTCTCCTCATTATCGAGATGGCTTTCCTTGGATACTACTTCAAGAAAGATAATTTCTTGGTGCTAGTTCCCAATAAGCATAGCTGCCTAAACACTACATATAACGAATGATCACTACAAACTTGGGCGATGACTTCCATAGTGCATTGAGTTTCTCAACAACTTTAATTTTTATGGATTTGTTCCAACCCAAAATAATGCAAAACTCGATAGCAAGTAGAGTTAAAAGTGAGCAAAGCTGACTCAAACTCTGACTCCCTCACAATCTTGTGAGTCCATCTTATCAAGCTATAGCTTGAGATCGAGCTCAAACTTGAGCTCACAAATTAAAGGAGCATGAACTTGAGTTTGATGAGACTCAACTCACCAGCTTGCAAGTTTAATGAGACTCGACCCTAATCAAATCATTAAACCTTGAACCATTCATTTTTCCAATTTGATATCAAATCTTGTTTTCACAACCTTGATAATTTATAAATAAATTGAATTTCAACTAACAAAATTTAAATACAATGTTTTTTATAAATAAATAAGTATCATCCAAAGTAGTTATAATTTATCATATTTTAAAAATAAGAAATTAGAATATTAAAGTTTTTATCTGGGCTTATTTGAAATTGCTTCAGTTTCTTTTTTTTTTAATGATAAAAGCGTAATTAAAACTTTTTTTATTTCCACAAATACTCATCTAAAAACAAATGAATAATTAAATTATTCATTTTTCGCCATTTGCTTTTATTTTATTTATTATTATATATCATATAATAATAGTAGGTACTATTATCAGATCCATTTGATAACTTTATTTTAATTACTTTTAGAATTATTAGTTTTACCATTTAATATTGCCCGTTAATAGAAATACACAATAATAGCCTAGGTTCAATCTTACAAATACTTAATGCATGCCTAAAACAGTAACATAAATATAAATGAAAGTGACCATCATTAGGGCTTCAATTGGGACTATTTTCTTATTATTTTTTAATATAAGATTTTTATTCAAAAAACTTTTAAACTGAAAAATTATTTTAAATAACAGTAAAAAACTGCCTCAAACAAAACCTTAATATAAGATTAAACATAAATCACATACATAAAGCAAATTTTTTAATATAAAAATTTAAATTAAAGAAAATTACTAAAAATCACTTTAAAAAATAAAAAATATATATCCCAAACAAAATCTTAACTGTTTTGATTAATAATACGACAATGTTTATTAAACTCAACCAGTATTGATTTAAAATTACAATCAAACAAATGATTAAGATTTTGTTTGAGACACCTTTTTACAATTTTAATAAAAACAGTTTTTTAATATAATTTTTTGAACAAAAAATTTTAATACTAAAAATCTATCTCAAACGAAACATAAATCTAATTAGTTTCACCTTAAAAAACCGTCAAAATATTCTAATAAAGTTCAATACTTCTGAATCTGCATTAAAATTAGTACTTCGATATCATATGTAACACCAATCTCAATGCAAATTCAAAGACAATAAAGCCCATTATAATGCTCAATATATTAACTAACACAATTTTTACTCTATTTTATAGCCAAACAACCAAATAGGCCCTTAACAATCCTATTTATGCTAATACCAAAACAATATATATAGCCACTAAAAGAGGTGTGAGGTCCGTAACTGAGATAACAGTGAGCTACAACTTTGCAGTACAGTACTGTATGCTCAAATCAATAATCTCGTTCACTACAAGCTCTGATAATGCTTTCTTTCTTACAATATAAGAGACCAGCAAAGAAGTAAAAGCTAACCTTTAAACTTCTTCCAGGCATTGCATCCAATAAATGAATAGACCTTTCAACTTCAGAACTCTTGTGAAGATCTCAATCAATGGGGGATGGAGTGAAGAAGAGAGCAGGAAACTTCCCTTCATCACTTGGACCAAGCCACAGAATCTATTTCGGTTTGGGCGTTTCTGTATAACTCTAAACGCTTAGTAAGAGCAACTCGGCGTTCCATGATTGCAGGGTCCTCGTTCAGCAAATTCGACAGCTCCTTGGCCTGCAAGAGAATCATCAAAATGGTAAGGAATTAAGAAGGGAACAGAAGAATAACGAACAGGAAATTCAACTTAAAAACTCATTTAAACTTTGTTTAGGATGGCTTTTTTATTGTTTTGTAAAATTATTGTAGAGAAAATCACTATTTAAAGCTGTCGTAGAAAATAACTTCACATTAAAAAAGTTATGGCCAAACAAAAAGTGTGGCTGCACTCTAAACAAAAGCATTAAGAAAGCTGTTTCAAACGGCTTCATTTGGGACAGCTTTTTTACTGCTCAGTAAAATAATTTTTTAGTACAAAATTTTTTTAAACTAAAAATTTATTAACTAAAAGGTGTGTGATCTATGCATAAAAAATTTTAAGCTAGAAATTTACTTAGGGATCTATGCATAATGGCAGAGTGCCATCATTGTTTGCATATACAAAAATTCATATACATGAATCCTTTTTCTTCATTAAACAACAAATTTAGGCTTCTTTTGGGATGTTTTTTTTTACTGCTTCATAAAGTGATTTTTTAGTAAAAAAATTAAAATAAAAAAAAAAAAAGATGCTTTAAGAAGCAATAAAAAAGCAGACAAAGCCTTTATTTTTAAGAAAATTAAAATATGAATCAAGAACGCTGCCGTATTAAAAATATGTAAAAAGGGGTAAAAAAAAGTGTGGACTATTTAAGCTACAATCATCTCAAAACTCTACCAAGAAAATTCAGCATTCCATGAAATAGGAACCGTAAGAAAAATAAACAAGAATGCGTCCTCACCTCTTTTTTTCCAATTTCCGTGAAGAAATGATCAAGCAGTGAGCGCTTTGCCTCGCGCACTTGACAGTAAACAATAGATTTTGGAATGGAATTACGCAAGCTTGAGCATACCATGTTGACATAGGCCAGAACGTTAGTTCCTGTAAAATGGAGGTAATTAGAATCTAGATAGTTAAGAAAATGTTTTAGGATTGGCCCCATCCATTCACGACATCAGGGTCAATGATCAAGATAATACAGTAATAAATTCTCTAAGGTCATAAGTTTTATATATGTAACATATAGACTAATCAGATGAATCATCATGTGCAGACATCAAACGTCATTCAAAGCCCAATGAAAATGTGTCACGTCACCCCCTACTCGGTACCGCGGCTCGGTACTGAGCTCGGTACTGGATGACGTGGTTGCACCTGATTCGCATTTGGACGGTAAGATATGTCCGGTATCCGCACAAAATAATCTCTCGAATAATCAAAGGGAACCACATGCATCTATGTTGCACCGATATGGATACGGCGACACGGATACGACACGATACAGATATGGGACACGACAATTCTTAAAAATACAAGATACGAATACGGCGCGGATACGGCGTTATAATATATAAATCATACATTAAAAATTACAAATTAATCAAAGCATAATATTTGAAATGACAAAAAAAAAATGAAAGCAACATCATTTGTAGCAATGTATCTTATAATATCAAAATAAAAGTAAGGATTAAATATTTAAATGTCTAGTACAATAACAAAAAAAAAAACATTTAAATTGTCCACAATATGAAGTTTTTAATTAAAAGTACGAATGATCGACACAATTAATCCACATGAATTTGAAACATGAAAATTTTTAATAAAAAGTATAGATATGTTGCGCCTATGCCGGGGGTCAAGGGGGCGCTGCCCCCTGGCGGGGTTCGACCTAACCGGTCAGGTCGCGGGGTCAAGGGGCAACGCCCCCGGAACAAATTTTTATTATAAGAGTTGCTTTAAAGTTTTCTCTACCTTCTCGGCACTGCTTGGTACCATTCGGTACCCCTCTGTACCGAGCAATACTAAGCGGTACCGAGTTCCGGTACCGAGTTCCGGTATCGCTCGTTACCGAGCAATACCGAGCGGTACTGAGTACCGAGCAGTACTGAGTTCTAGTATCACTCGGTACCAAGCAGTACTGAGTTCTAGTATCGCTCGGTACTGAGCGATACCGAGCAATACCGAGTACTGAGTAGTATCGAGTACCAAGCGATACGTGTGCCCGATCAAATTTAAATAATATTTTAATTAGACACAGCAAAGCCATATCCGACACGTATCCGTGCCGTATCGGAGGCGTATCCGTATCCGACACGTGTCTGATTCAGCATGCCTCATAAATAGGCGTATCCGTGCAACATAGACATGCATGCATGTGATAGGAAAAGATGAGCTTTCAGGTACGCATAACCTAAGTAGCTACGTACCAATACGTCTGAGATATGAATCATTGTATCTGTCAAAAATAGAGTGAGTTGGATTTCCGCCTTTCTCAACATCCTGAGGAAGCTTCCGGAAGAAATCAACAGTCAGATAACTACATTCCATGTCAACTAGCTTCAGAGTTGCTTTCCTGCTTTCCTCCCTCATTCTCTCTAACGACTCAATAGCTGCATTTCCAACCTCCACACGAAGGCTAGGATATTGCCTGAGCTCCTGTTAAGAATATAATGGATTTCAAATCAAGCAAATTTTGCATAATTTTAATAAAAAACGGAGCACCTAGTCTCAAGCATGGTCCTTAATAACATCAGAAACCTTCATAACAATGACAGAAAAATGTCAGAATACAACATGAAATGATTGTGAACAAAACTATAACTAAAATGGGAAGGAGAGAAGACTCTTTAATCACTTCAAAAAAAAAAAAAAAAGGATAAACAAATTAGGACACAATATTCGTTGCATAATCCTGCATTTTGGTTTAAAAATGTCCATGGTGGGCAGAAGGTCATGATCACACATATATTATATACGTCTATTTCTACCACCTCTAAATTAATTATGGTTGGCCAATTGATTAGTGGTAGATGAAGACAAGAAAACTCAGCATCAAACAAAATGATAATATAATGCTAACTCAACACAATAATTTTGAAAAATAAAAATCACAAAAGAACATGAGGAATAGCAAACTCATCCATGCTTAAATACCCTAACCACCTAAAGCAAAAAAATAATAATAAAGAAACAGAGAGAAATAAAGAAAGAAGAAAATTAGAATATTGGAAACCATAGGATTCAATTTTTACCTCTTTTGGACATGATATATGATTTCCATGTATTTCATTCAACTAGTATTCTTGGTTATATTTAGGATATAAATCATGTTTTAAGATATTCTTATGCTTATTCTACTACATCAAGCATGTACAGTACATAAATTGAAGGAAAAATTCAAATCGACTTAGCATGCATTGCCTAGCTGAAGAAGAAATCCAAGCATTTGAGGCATTACATGTCTGGTAGCTTAGGCAACCACAAACTTTTTCAAATGAATTTACAAGCAATGCACCAAGAACTAGGCTATCACCTCTTCTCAATAAGGTAAGTTCGTTACTAAATAATTTTCAGAGATTATTATTCGTAGAATTCAAGTATGAGATATTCAATAATTAGCTAGAATGAACAAAACCATCACCAAACAATTGCACTAACAGAATAAAGCCTAATGCAAAGCAAGATAGAGCCTTACCACAGTCTCTCTGATAGCTTTACTAACCAGCTCTTTAAGGATGGCATGAACCTAAAAGCATGGAAATAAGCAGATTAGACAAAAGTTCTAAAGAACTTTCGGAAACAAGATGATTTACATTAGTTACACAAAAGCTTACATAACTTCATTAATAAATTTACGCATAACATTATGCATTTACATATTACATATTTCTGTATAATGCATGCATAATAATAATCGCAAATACATTGATATTTATACTTATGCATTGCTTATCAAAAGTTCTTCCATAACAGACGCAAAAAATGCAAACAAAAGTATGAGGATAAAAATTATAGCAATTATGAACGCTAGGAGATTAGGTTCTATAAAATTAATTGAGTGGAGAATGCATACCGCATCAACAGATGCCTCAGCTGGGCCTCTAATGCTAACTAATGATGACTCAATAAGACGACGATATCCCTGTTCAGGAGCAATCAAGTGGGGCTGGTATCCATCAGCTTCAGTGATTAGCTTTTTCACATTCTCCATTGAGAGCTGCTTGTCAAACTGCAACCTTTTTAAAGCAGCAGGAAGTTGATTATCAAAGACGTTATATATCTTGTCACCACCGGGCCGCCTAGGGAGCAGAATTTATACAAAAAAGATCAATGAAATTTCAAGTAGTATATCCCACGTACAAATTGAAAAATAAATTAAATAAATTATATCTGGTCAAGTTTAGCTTTAATAAATGCTTAGAAGAACAGAAGAGTACTTGCACATATTTTTTAGATACAAGCAAAAAAAGTGCAACTTTTCATTTAAATTTTTCTGAACTGATATATCTCTAATAACAGAAAACTTATAGATATATGTCCATTCTCTTTCAAGCATCTCAATTTCCCATTATAACTTAGAATGTGAATTTGTGGCAGATATAAACATGAAGATCCGGATGGCAAGCAAGCAGGTATGCCATTTGATGGCTACCAATAAATAGACTTGCAACTTTTAAAATGAATCTGTAAGCAGTAAAAGTGTCAACATAATTGCCTTGTTAGAGCATTAATTCTGCAAGTTATATGTGAATATTGCTGAACAATTTATGGTATTAAATAACTGAATAACTGATTAGAGAATTTGCATGAACAACTTCAAAAGGGCTTCTGAATTCTCAAATGTCTCCTAGTCAGCGCAAGAACAGGTACCTCAATTATGGCATATTATGCAGCTACAGTTTTCTGGTATATGTTGAAGAGTTCAGAGAAAACTTCATCAGCCCCCCCTACAATAATCCCTCCCTGATTAATTTTCACAGCACTTTTCATGGAACTATATCATATACTTTCTCTAAATCAATAAATATCATATGCAGATCCTGTTTTTTTATATATGTAGATCCTCTTTATTCTCTCTCTATACTTCCCATCAAATCTCTCAATAAATGTATAGCTTCCATAGTAGGCCTACCTAACATGAATCCAAATTGGTTTTGAGAAACATTAGTATCACATCATAACCTATACTTAATTACTCTGTCCCATAATTTTAAAGTATGACACATTAACTTAATTCCTCTACAATTTGTACATTCATGTGCATCATCTTTATTCTTAAAAATATGAATCAACACACTCCTTTTTCACTCAACTGGCATCATTTTAGTTTTTAAAATAATATTAAAAAATTTCATAAGCCAAGAAATTCCTTCATCTCCTAAGCACTTCCACACTTCATTTTCTTTAAAGTCTCTCTAACTTTGATTTTACTGATATGCCGATAAAAACAAAAATCTCAATTTGAAAAAAAAAATGTATTCTCACAATCTTTTCATTGAAAAGCTTATCAAAATATCACATATATTTTTTGTTGAATATCCTTTTCTAACAAAAGTGTTTTTTTATCTTCACTTGATAAAAAAAAGACTTTAGTTAATTAATAAGATGTTAAAATATTAAAGGTAATGCCAAAAAAGATTATGCCCTTTATTAATTAATACTTAGTGGCTGAGGACATGATCACACTAATGTTTGGTAGTTCTTGTATGAAAACTAATGTAAATTGACAAGGTCCAAGGACAAACATGATCACACTAAGCATTTTCAACTTTACACTATAATTTGCTTCTAACCAAAGGTGTAACTAAACAAGCATCTCCAGCTATATTGACCAAACAAACTGAAAATTCAATTTGGATTTCTTAGGTTCTTAGGAAAATCTCAAATTTCGTCCAGATTCAGTTCCCTTTCTTCATAATCACAAAGAATATTCTGATCTGTCAGTTTGAGTTGCAAAAAAAAAAAAAAACCTGACAAAAAGCTATTTGCAACAGTGTAAGACGAGACAGTTCACATTTGTTTTCTTTATAAATAAATGGCTTATCCAATTTCTACTTCACCGATTCATACATTTTGATAATCCATTGGCTCCTAACTAATAGAATGAAATCAAATTTAATGTAAAGGGGGAATGGATCTCAAATGCATCGCCGTGATCACGCTGGGGAAGAATCAACAGCATATGAAGTATGAAAAGATAAATAGTGTGTAAAGGGGGAATGGATCTCAAATGCATCGCCGTGATCTCGCTGGGGAAGAATCAACAGTATATGAAGTATGAAAATATAAATAGTGTGTAAAGGGAGAATGGATCTCACTGGCAGAGACTGACAACAGGAAAGCTAACTCGAAGGTTCAGTTTAGATTTTATTTTGATTTTATTTTAAATTTGAGCGTTACATAAGTAAATAGCTAAGTTTAGGTATTAAATATGTACATTATAGAATTTTGAGCGTTATATATTTAAATCACTCTACATAATTGTATGAATATAGATAAATACTAACACTCATTCTATCTCTATCTACATATTTAATCATGTCAATAAATATACATTCATGCATCTACACAAACATTTACTCGTACAAACATATATTAAAACATAGAACTATCATATATGCATCATGATAATAGAGTGAGAAATTCCATAATCGAATCTAATCAATTAATTTTGAGTAGTTATTGGGTGATTTTTTACCTTCCGCAAAATTATCAACCCCAAATTGAAGTTTAACAAAGTCAGCAATCACTTGAACAAATCAAAATAAAAAGGAACATACAATCAAGAACAAGACAACAACATCAACTTGATCAAAATAACTAAAAGTGTTGATCTCAAGTTTTTATTACTATACATCTAAATGATTTAAAAGAGAAGAATGGATAATGTTAACATTTTTTGGGATATGAAAGAGTATAATAATGAAAACATACACTCCATCGAGATGCTCTTTGTATATTTGATCGAAGCCACGACAGATCTCCATAATCATATATAACTTACCCTGCATACAATAACGAAGTTTTAATTATAACAGCATTAAATTCATATACAAAGTAGCAACTTTCAGAAATATCATTATAAATTAGTTACTCTAATTGAAGGAATCAGCAGAACTGTGTCAGAGCTGAGAAATTATAAAATAAATCAATAAGAAAATAAAAAAAGGATGAGACAAGACTTACTCCAGCATCAGTTGCAACCGGTTTCCCAAGCCGACTTAGTTCAGCTTCGAGTTCAGCAATAGTTTTGCTAACGAGAGACTGTAAGCCAGGGATGCGAGACTTGATAACTGTCTCCAAATGCTGCAAGATTTTGTAGTGCTGAGTGACTAAAACTCTCCCCGGTAAATAAAAGTTTCAACCAAACATATCTATTTCTAGCACATCATTCAAAAAGTTAAGTGTAGTTGGGGCATACTTTAGAAAGCATCTTTCCTAAATACTCGGAGCCCATTCTATGAGCAAGATGCTTGTAATCTGGGGAGCTAGCAAAATATTCTCGCTCTCTACGCCGGGCAGCAATCATGTCAACATTCTTGTTGATATCAGCTTGGGATCGATTGACAACACCAAACCACGGATACTGCAGGCGATATGCTTTTCCTTCCAAAATCTAAGAAACACAATAAATTTCAAATTTAGAAAGTGTCTACCCCAAAATCAGAAATAATACCAAAAGGCAAATAGACAAAATTACATAGATCTTTTAAGTTAAACCTAAATTTAAAACACACGCCATTTAAGCAGATAAATGCATGAATTGCACAACATCAAGGGAAGTAGCTGCAATAATTTACGAAATTCATTATGAATGTTTATCTTTTAGGCGTGATTGCAATGTAGGTCAATTCTATATAGTATAAGTCACCAATATTGGGGCACGCAACATAACAATATACACTATGAACATTAACCGCGCTTCCAATTCAATTGGGTACAAATTGAGTTTAGAGGTTTCTTTTTATCAATTCCAAGAACTACCCAACTTCCCTTAGTTTCCTCTCAATGAATCTGAATAAAAGCACATGGTAGGTCAGATTTGAGTATCTGAACCAACATAGATTAAATTTGATATAAATACGTTTTATAGTCTAGCAATGGATCGTTCAGTAAATTAAGCCCAAAATTACAAAGGAGCTTAAAAATAAAACTCCTTATTAATATGGTACTTTCTATTTCACATTTATTAAATTTTCAAAGTATAAATATATGCTAAAATAATTCAAAATTAAAAAATAGTGTTTGAACTATCACCAAGGTTTCAACTTTCAACAAAAAGGGGAAGGTAAATAGAGTTCCTATCCAACCATTATTTAATTGCATATTATTTTTTAGTAAAATGTGTGTTTAGAAAGGTGGCAACCAGCGCAAAATTTTCTGAATTTTTTTAATTATGATGATTGGAATTAGTACCGAAGTATAAAATATAAGATAAATTATTACACATTTACGGTTGTATAGAATCACATTCAAAACTCATGTAATATATCCAACTTCTATAAAAATATTGATAGCTAATAAAGCCTGAAAGATAAAAATCACTATTGGGATTACATTGTTATTATTCTTTTGATATTTTGTTCTATACAAAGGTTTTAATTTGAGGCTTATACGAACTTCATAATAAAAGTGAATAATGGATAGACCAATGATTAGCAGTTGAATACAGGTGAATGTGACTAATCAAGAGCCAAAATTTTTGAAAGAGCATACCACTAGAAAAAACCTGCGAGAAATATGAAGCTGAAGTGAACCAATTATCACCAACTTAATGGGTGTTTTCACATATGCGGAAAGTTGCAAAAATATATTAAAATATTTTTTATCGTTTAAGCATCACAAAAGAAGACAACAAAGCAAAAATACTGTTAAAACATGACCTAAAACTCTGAAGTTTTTTTTTTTTGTCGGTAAGGATTGCTATTTTAGGCAAAACATACAATTCAAAGGTATAAAGTAAATAGAGAGATCCTCAAACAACGTGTTAATATTAACCCTCATTAAAATAGTTGATCTTATCTTATCCCAAGAATTTAGGGCAGGTTATATTTTCTAGGAAAAATTACACACAAACCGCCAAAATTTTCTTGGCTTCTCATAGTTCAACAGTGGAAAAGAAGGGTATACGGTAATAAATACAATGATGACAAATTATGAACAGTTTTCTTACCTCAACAGCATCAGTACCCTTATCCATAAGATCAATCTTAGTTAGCACTCCAAAAGTCCTCTCTCCTGGATTTTGAAAGGAAAAAAGCATAAAAAAATGATGCTATGAGCATCACAATATATGAACACCACAAGGAAATCATTTTATTATCTTTTACTTTTAGGCTGTCACCGGCATAATTGTACGCACTGAAATACAGTTGCTAAAATGTGGAATTGTTAATTTACTGAATCATAAATAAATATTATCAAATCCACTAAAGATAGTTAAAGAAAACTCTACTGACAAATAAGAGAAGCAATTCCTAAAAATTATAACTTAAAAGCCAAATAAATTGTATGTTTCCATAAGCTTGTACTTATTTAAGCATTTTAAAGGAACGGGATTAGTATATATCCGTCTGACATAATCTCTATAGGATTTTTACTTTTTTTTCATTTTTGGAAAATAAAAAATTTTAAGTTATTCTTCAATTACTTAGAACAGATATTTATGCTAATTATGTGTTTAAAAATGATACATAATGTGTTTTTAATCACAATTTAGAAAATATTAATACTAACCTTTAGGGTCAACTTCACGGGCAATTTTGATAGCATCAGAGGTTGCAAGATCTTGATTTGCAGGTGATATTGCCAGAATAATGCAGTTAGGCTGCAGTTAGAAGGAAATTCGTTAAGAAAAACTGTATTCATCACATGCACGTCTTGTATAACTAACTAATTATGACGCCTTTGAAATCAAATCCTTGTCATAATAAGAGGCAGCTACGACGGATAGAAAGCAAACAAAGAATGGTAGCTAATTAACAAGAGCATGGTATCATGCAATATGGCTCAAGAACATCGCATATGTAGTTTTATAGAAGAAGATACCTATTCCCTTGGAATAAAAATAGAAGCCATTCATTAAAAAAACGTACGAATATACAACAACTAAAACCCAGGTATTACGGTTAAGGTCCTAAGCATAAAAATTGAAACAACCTAGGTAGAGATATTCTAGGCTTCTAGTATTGCAACCCCAGCATACCTGTTGAGTTAAGAGTTAACAAAAGCAGTGGTGGAATCATATTCAGCTCATGTTTCTACGAATGAACAATTAGTTGTTGTAGTGAGATATGTAGATAAGTTTGGTCAAATTATTGAAAGATTTATAAGTATTAAACATGTTGCATCGACTAATGCAATTGCGTTAGAGGCAGTCATTGAAATTACACTTGCAAAATCTTTGTTGAGCATAGGATACGTGGTCAAGGATATAAATGGGTCATCTAATATGCAGGGAGTTGCATGATTTGAAGGCTCTAATACTTGATGATAACCCTCATACATTTTACATCCATTATTTTGCTCATCAGCTCCAACTGTGATTAGTGGTTATAACAAAAAATTGTTGGTACGTAAAACATTTTTTTGAGATTACTTCAAGAATTATCAATATTGTATGAGCTTCATATAAGAGGAGTGATACTCTTAGAGTCATTCAATATAATAAAATAAATTTTCATCTAACTTAAGGAGAGTTGAGCAGTGGTCAAGGTTTAAACCAAAAGACAACTTTATAATAAGCCGGTGACACTCGTTGGGGTTCATATTTTCATACATTAATTAATCTGATGAAAATATATGCTACATTAATTGAAGTGCTTGAAATTATTACAAAAGATGAGGTATGTGATCAACAATCTGTTGAAACCAATGTTCTAGATGCTATGAAATCTTTCGGTTTTATTATTACAATGAAGTAAATGATTGATATTTTAAGTTTTGCAATTGATTTATCACAAGCCTTATAGAAGAAAGATCAAAATATTATGAATGAAACGAAATTAGTGCAAGTCTCCAAGTAACTAATATAATTTATGCGAGAGAATGAATAAAATTCTTTCTTTGATGAAGTATCACATTTTTGCAATATTTTTGAAGTTGATGTTCAAGGCTAACCGACGATCAGTACAAATAAATGAAGAAATAACAAATTTACATCGTTATCATATGAATCACTATTACACTATTATTCATATGCAACTTCAAAACCTGAATAATCAATTCTCTGAATCTAGTACTGAGTTGCTTCTTTATCTTCCGTGTCTGAATCCAAGTAACACATTTTTTGCTTATGATAAAGGGAAATTAATTCGGCTTATAGAGTTATATTCAACATATTTTTCTTCGGTTGAACTTGAAAACCCAAGTAAAATAATTTTTGAAAAGTTCTAAGATTTAAAATATAATTGCAGCACGCAGCCAAGCACCCATTGGCTACATAGGGATGCTACGAGACATTAAGTAGCAGCTTACAACACCAAGTGATCGAGGCACTAAGGAGTCAGCACCTCAATAAGTAATTGTGTAGTTTTTTTACATTTTTTTCTTAATCTGAAAACCATTTATTGAGCATGCCCAACTCATTAAACATACAAACTATTATCTACACTAGTACCGATATGAAAGTAAAAAAATACGTATGCATGCCATAATATATGCATGTGATTCAATTACTATCAATGAATTAAATAATAGCTAACATTTCAAAGAGGTTAACCTTTTCAATAAAAGAGCGAACCATGTTCTCTATATCTGCAACAATACTATCAGGTTGACCCTCTGGAGAAACGTCAAGGGGATGATTAGTATTAAATATGGTTAGAATTTAGACATAAGTGAGCATCCCAAACAAGAATAACAAAAAATAAATAAAACTCACCGACGGCCACCTTGGTAAGCCCCGGAAGATCAATCAGCGTCAAGTTCACAACTGTAAATTTTAAAATCATGAGAATTTAAGTTGTAACCATTAAAGCATATATACCACAAAAAATTGCGTTGAATAATATGTTTGGATTCGCTGTTGTGGCTAGCTAAAAAAGGCTTAACAAAACATATTAAAGAAGAAAAGACAGGTCATGGCCATGTACCACAGGCCTACACTAAATAATAAACAATGGCATGCATTAAGAGCAGACTAAATTTTGAAGAATAAGCTTTGGTATACATAAACTCTTCTATTTAAGCTATTTAAATGGATGCAGCACCATGGAAATCTTTGAAACTTGAGAGGCAGAGGTAGTAAGAAATCGCACTACAATGGTCCATTCCAACTACAAGGATACCAGTAATATCCGAATGTACAAAATTCAAATATTAACTTAGCAACCAATCAAGAAAGATTTCTAATTTAGATAGGTTCCATCAACTTAACACCATCTATAATATGATTCTAAGACACCGAAAAACAACAACGTTTGAACCAATTCACAAATTCAGATAATTTCCATAGAATATACAGCACTTAAAGTCAACATGTCATAAAATGAGAGGTACATGGCCATGGGATCCTAAGTAATCATGATTATGGGATCATAAGTGAATGACCACTGGTGGTGGTTCAAATATTGGTCAAACATTTCAATCACAGTATAATGGGAAACAAATTTTCTAGGATAGAGACTGTGAGAGATGGAAAGAGCACAAACAGAAATTTTAGTTCATACGAAATTCAGAACAGACGAACAGAGATTTGTGTGAATATGATTTTAACTGTAACAAATCCATGTTGTTCCAAATACATATAATTTAATAAAATTTCTGAGTTATATTGGCATATGTAGCAGCCGTTATTGCTCCTAGTAAAAGAAGTTATGCGAAGCTATCCATCAATATAATATCCCAAACAACTATTTTGAAGTAAATAAAGAATCAATAGTTTTGCTAATTTGCTCCCTCAAGGAGCCTTTATTATTTCATTAAGTTTGGGTTTCCCCCTTGGGCAATACAAACAAAATGGAAAGCAAATCACTAGCCACTCAAATTAAACTATCAAATAAGCGCCATCAATATAGAAAGAACAAAAGAGAAAATATACAAGACATCTAAGACATGCATGTTGATACATAATAAATATAAATTGGTGTGCTCAACAATGCTTGGGCATGAACACTAAAAGGGAACAAATCCAATAATCAAAGGTATATTGTGGTGCCTAAATTCTCTGCAAAAGTGAGCAATTTGCATCAGCGCCCATAAGCCCTGGACTTTTTTGCCGTCTCTTTCCTTATTTGCTTCTTACCTACCAAGTTGAATCATTCCTCAACCCCTCATTCTTCTCCTTTCTCTGAGTCCAAGATTTCTTCTCTTATCAGAATTACAAGTATAGCAATAGTCTTGAGGTCAGCACGGTACATCTATAATTGATTTTGCTAGTAATTGAAGTAATGATTTGAGCTTGAACTAATCTTTTTTTTTTCTTTGCATTAATGAAAATTAGGACTCACACATCTCAAGATTAGATATCTTTCATCCATTTAAAAATTTAACTACCATTCACAATCAGTTCATTAGATTTGGGTTGATTGTGCCATCTTATAATCAAAATTAGATAGATTGACTACACTAATGATGTTTTAAGGTTTCAAGTTGGTGAATCTTAGCTTATCCCCATTCTGTTTATCTCATGTTCTATTTATCTCATATGCAAGAGATTCTTGTTCCTCTTCAACTTCTTCTTCTTCTTTAATCTACTTGTATTACCCACAGTAATGTTTGTTTTTATTCCTTCTAGAAAAGCAAACCTTGATATATTTTGATAGATATTTTCTGAGGCCTTTGAGTTTTCATGGACTAATAATTGACGAGTGATTTCATAATTTCACATTGGCAAATTCCCCAAGAGCAGGTCCAAACTCCAAACTAGAGCAAAGCACAAAATTCCAATTTGAGAAATGATTTGAGCGAGTAGACACTATTAATTCATTATTGGACTCAAAATAGTTTAACTGGGGAATGCCGTGATTGTTTCATTTATTCGTACATAATTCACGCTAAGGGAAGTAGGATTGTTTGTGGTCTCACATGCTTTTCTTGACTAGCAAAAAGCATTTATAACTAGAATAATACTTTTGAGTTTTGAATCTTAATATTTGCATATCCATACGATAGTAAACAAGCACAATCATACTCATAGAAAGTTTCTTCCTGTCCTCAAAAGTTTAATATAAGGCAATATTTTTCACTTGCCCTCAGTTCCAAAAAGAGACCTCACCAATAATTCTTGCTCCAGTATATCTGATGATTATCCGCCTTCTCAATATCATCATCATCATAATCAGTACGACATCAAGATTACTTCTATAATCAAGATAATGTCTGAATCCATAAGTAATTCCCAACTTATCAAAATTCTCTTGATATGTAAGCATAATTACTCAAATGTTTTGATGACCACTAAATTTGACAGCTCACTAAAAATAGTTAGTCAATAAGTTATTAGTTAAAGCTTCGCACTATATCAGTTGCTGAATTGCTTGGCAACTCCCTTACCACAAAGAAAATCAACGCAAACAATAACACTGTAGAGCATCTAAGCACCTAACATCAACTATTCTATTTGAGAATATTGACCCGCTAAATATATTCTGTGAAGCAAATACCTATATGATTTAAGCTGAAAATGTGTTCAAAACATAGTTAACAATACTTAACCAACTATTTGATGGCATGATGTGCTAGATTATAGCAAGCAATCTAAACTTCTTTTGACCTTTTCTGATAATAAATTATGTTTCAGATAAAAAATTAATTTGAAAGAAAAAAAAAAGTACGCTTCATAAGAAGCTATCTTCAAGGGCTTCCCTAATCCTTAAGAGTGCTGCATTGAAAGCTACGGCATAATATAGCAATCTCAAAAGATAACTTTAACATGGTATAAAGCACCTAAGCAGATGATTAGATTCATGGGGTTCCAATTAATGTAACTGCAAGTATTTTTGTTAATGTATTGTTTTGATTGATTCAAATTTCAAGCCATAAGTGTAATTCTAACAAAGAACATAAAATTTAATCATCTGGAAGATAGCCTCACCATTAGGAGAATAAATACTCAGATGTATAGGGACACTAGAAATTTGCTTGCTGCGGCCAGTCTCCCTATCAGTTTCATCTTGAATCTCCTTCCTAACAAGAGCTGCATGCAAAAAAACACAGATTTGATGTCGAATAGACAACTTGCAAATCTAATAATGCTGTACAGTCAGATCCAACTAAAACTAAACCCATGAAGTAATTTTATTAAGAGGCAAGTGCATATCAAAAAAGAAAAAACTTCCCTAGATAGGACTATTAAAAATAAGGGTCTCAAATGTCCCAAGAAAGCATTAGGGAAGAGAATTTTATGTGAAATTCAAAAGAAAGCCTGACTGTGATTCTACCCAAAGTGCAATTTATGTTTTCCGTGACTTGGATAGATGTTAAGAAAATGCCAACAAATATAGCAGATAATACTATCAAGTGGACTACAGAGCTTCAAGCAGTGATGTAGGCTAGTCAATAAAAATCAGAATCTCAATGTCAAATAAACATAGTTTAATCTCAATGCCCCCAAGCTGGTGAAATACAGTACCAACAAAAATATAACCTCAATTTCAAAAGTTGTAAAATACCATAATAAGTGGACTACAGAGCTTCAAACACTGATGAAGGCTATGCCATCAAAAACTAGTCCCCTTTTTAAAAAATAAAGTTTGAACTCAATGCCCTCAAGCTGGTGAAAAACAGTACCACAATGAAGATCACATTAATGGTAAAAGTTGTCAAGTGTTAAGCCAAGTTGAATCTTTAATATAAGAAAAAATCTTTTGTGGAACGAAATCAAACTTTCAAATGGCCGATATATGATACCCAACTAGTCAACACTGACTATAAATTGCTAAAACAGGTTGATGTAAAATAAAAAATGATCAAGCCATCTAAAAAACATGATGCTAAACGAATATAAACATGAGGAAAACAAAGAAAATAAAGATAAAGAAGTCCTATAAATGGAAGTTTAAATTATCACATTATTCAAATAATATATCTTATTAATTGAATTTACCAAAATCTGTAAACTTCTTCCGTGGGAGATGAAGAAACTCAGCATACTCTCTCCCTTCATCAATTCTATGAAGTTGCAACACCAGAGGGCGTCGCGTGACAATACCTAAAAAAGAGTAATTGAAATTTATCTCATGAGAATCACCAGGTATCTATAATTAAGGGAAAGGCAGAGAACAAAAAATAAAGAGAACATTACAAAAGTAGCTATTTACCAGATCCCCGAGGCAAGAAGTCCTTCCCAACTACGCTCTCCAGCACTGAAGATTTGCCCGAACTCTAGAGATGCGCAAGATGAGACGATTTTAATAAACAACTAGGATATTGGAAATATTTCCTTACTAATTTTTTAAAATGTGCTAATATATATGCCTAATTGAATTTATGAGCACAACAAGCTAAAGAAGACAAGGCTACATATCTATGAATAGCTATGAACTAGGAGAGAAGGGTTAAAAAAAACTCGCATAAAATGTCAAAATATAGAAAAAATCACTCAAAGTAGCCCTACTTTTCTAAAATTATAGTTTTCAAAAATAAATGATAAAATCATAAAAATATGATTATTTTTTTAAAAGAGAAAACCATTTTGGCTAACCAAAAAAATGCCCAATAAATAATTACAAAGAGCCAAGAGGTTGGGCATTTGAATGTCTATTTAACTCTGTGCATTCAAAAATATATAATGTAGACTCTCCGTGCTCTAAGAGAAAAATAGTCATGTACTCAAGATTCAAAAGCACAAACATTATCAAAAGACTGAATAAAAGGTTCAAGGAGCTTCAAAACAAAAAGTAATTAGTGCTTCACTTCTATTTGACAACCATTAAAAAAGCGGATGAGGCATCCGCATTGAGTCGCGCCTCAAGTCGAGGCGAAAGTCATGCGTATCAGGGCTTACGCCTCGAACCATCCAACGAAGCCTACGATTTTTTCGCACAAGGCGTACGCATTAGAGCGTAACGCCTCGAGGCAGTATGAGGCACTGCCTCGAAATTTTTTCTTCGGTATATATGTAGATAAGACGCAGCCGATTCGTGTTTGTTTATTCGAGTATAAGATTAGGGCGTCCTGTGAGAATTGAGAGACGAACTAGAGGCGAAGCCATCAGAGAAAGAGACGAAGTCGTGAGTGCAGGAGACAAAGTCAAAAGGAGACGACACAGGAAATGAATTCAAAAGCAATAACAGTTTCGAAAGTAAGAAACGAAGCCGAAGTTGTGAGTGCAGGAAACGTTCAGGCCTCGGTTGGCCTTGACTTTGAGGTGTAGTAACGAAAGCTTGAATTACTCCTGATTCGGCTTTCTTTCATTCATCCGCTCAGTACATGCTCGGTACCGAGCAAGTACAAGATCGGTATCGCTCAGTACATGCTCGGTACTGCTAGGTACATACTCGGTACCGAGCCAGCACCGCTAGGTACCGAGCAAGTATATGCTCGATATTTAGCGGTACATGCTCGGTACCACTAGCATGCTCGGTACTGAGCGGTACATGCTCGGTACTAAGCGATACATGCTCGGTACTGAGCATATACAACAAGCAGAATTTCAAAATTACTCTTATAATAAAATTTTGTTCCGGAGGCGCTGCCCCCGGAAACCTCCGCAGGGGCGTTGCCCCATGACCCCGTTACCTGACCGGGCAGGTCGAACCCCGCCAGGGGGCAGCGCCCCCTTGGACCCCCGGCAGACTGGTACGTTTTTGTATTCATGTTATTTTATTATTGGTAATATAAATAATTGTTAAAATATGTCCTATTATTAGCATGACTAGTGGTACAAGAAGGAAAGATCCTGCATGGAAATATGGAACTTAAGTTGAAGTGTCTGGCGAAAGTGCAAAGAAGGGATATGTTTACATGAAATGTAATTTCTGTGAGAAACGCATAACTGATGGCGTTAAGAGGTTGAAGGATCATCTAGCCTGTACTCATGTCAATGTGGGACCATGTGCAAAAGTACCTGATGAGGTAAAAAAGGAATGTACAGATTATTTAAAGAAGTTTGCCACCACAAAGGATGTTACACAAAGAAATATGGAAGAGATGATAGGAAACTCTTCTTATTATGGATCACAGCATGAAGGTTCCAGTAGTGGAAGCCATCTAGTTTCTTCTAATCGAGGCACTCGAGGTCCTATGGATAGATTTATGAATTATTTTTTTATGCTATTGTTGTTTCATTCTAAAGCTAACGAAATATTAACTGATATAGGGGATAAAGGAAAAAATATTATAGATGAAGAAGAGTTTGAGGATGACTTTGACATTAATTATTAAGATTCTTCTGAAGAAAATCAAAGTGATGATGAGCCTGCATTGGGTTTTGATCCTAAAGGGATGTTTTATTTTTAAGTGAGTTTATTTTAAATCTTCTTTTCCAGTAATATACTAATATTATCTTAGAGCAAATCATCAAATTCACAATTAATGTAATATTTTATTTTTTTTTACATTTTTGTCATTATTCATAATTTTAAATTGCTTTATTTTTTATAATTTTTTAGGCTTACGCCTCACCTCGCTTAGCCAAAACGCCTAGATTCCCGATTTCGCCTTTTAAAACGTTGCTATTTGATAAGGATTTCCCTTTTAAATCAATTTGAACAAGAATAAAGAATTTTTCAGCCGATTACAATCATTACAAACTGTAGTAGAATATTTGTTGAGCAAAGAGTATCTTTCACAATTTAGGAGATAAAAACTAGTCGGTAACCTAAATGGACATCTAAACTTGTTTGGGTCAAGTCAATCAAGTCATTATAAAAGTATGAACTAGATTCAATAAGTGGTTGATTGCGAAAAATTTTAAATACCTACAATTTGCATCTCACCAAGTTAATGTCACTCACAGTTGATTCACCAAGAGCACCCAAGAATCAGCCCTTGCTCCCGGTCTATTGAACATTTTCGAGGGAATAACAAAATCATCTATTCGCCATGACATTCACCCAAATAACTCAACTACTTATTAACAGCTGAGGTTTATGGTCAGAAGAACTTGCTAAGAACATTCACCCTCAATCCAAAACTTGCATGAAATTTCTAAGTAGCAATCGATTACAAGATAGATATGCACACTACACAACTAACTACATCAAATCCAAATCTTGTACTTACTATGTATTTGCACCATGGATCAGAATTTTGTACCTTGATCATCATCTATAAATAGGAGGTCATTGGTTGAATGCATGCATCATATGATATTTCATTTAGTGCTAAAACTCTATTCTATTGAAGTCTCTCTCAACATATGTATAACATTCTCCTCTCTTTCTAAATTATCTTTCTAGCTCGATTTATTTGCCCTTATCTATCAAAGGAGACAGAAAAGGGTCTTCGATATACAAATTCACTTATGAGATTTATTGAGACTTAAACTCTCTTTATTATTCATTTTGCTCTTTAGTCATGATCCAAATCTCTAATAGTATCCTGCCATCTTTTCAGGGGCAATATTGGATCCAACATTACATGCCAGTTCTACAAGTAGGTGAATGTCAAAGCAAAAGAGTCAGTAATCAACATGTGTAAGAGCTGAATGAAAATTTTATAACATATGACCAGCTCATATTTCCTGGAGTTAGTTCTCCCCTCCCTTGCCCCACGATAAAATACAATTATAACTTATAACACATAACATTGCACATGTAAAACTCTCACCATCTTTTACTCCTGCTCAACCATATTCTAATTGTGTATGCCTATTTTTCACTTATCTACAATACTCAAGAAGCCAAAGATCATAAGTTGTTTAACATTAAGAATTAAGGGTCTCTATGGAAATTAAAGCACAATGCAAGTAAAACAACTTTATCTATGCATAAAATCAAACAATTGAATATTTCATTGTTTTTATTGTTCTGGTTTTCTAGGTATTTTTTTAGATAACATATAATATTCAATAGAATTGGAGTGGTTGATTGAAACGTTCCGAATTCCAATGACAAAGTTTCATATTAGTAGTCCTATAAAAAGTAAATTTCCACCCTCCTGTCTGTGAAACATTTTGATGCACAAAAAATCATAAACATAGCACACTGTGATTAAAATCTAGCAGAACATTCACCGGAGAATATTAATTATATGCCCAGTTGCGATGCTAAACTGCAGGAACTACAAAATAGCAACATCATGAAAGGAAAACGTAAAACATGCATCTTTTTCAAACCAGGCAGCGTAGGAATCCAGTAATTGAATCAAGTAACAAAACACGACAGAATCCAGATTAAACCAAAACTAAAGAAACTTTTCATCTGGAATCTGCAGACTCAACAAAAAGACAAGCGCATCTCCACAACCAAAGCTAGAAAACCTAAGCCTACAAAACGGGAACCCCATTAAGCAACGAAGATCTCAGAAAAAACAACCTAGGGCAGATCATGCCCATTGGAAAGAAACCGAATCACGTCAAAGAATATGGATCGAAGATGCAGAAACCGACCTGCCCTCCCACCACAGCAATGGAAGGCAGCGAATCCCACAGCGTCGGCAGCGCGCTCTCCTCACCATAGTCTCCCAGGGCCGTGCAAGCCCTCTGGATTCTATTCACGAGCGAAATCAAGCTCTCCATATCCCCTCCACTTCACAAGGCGTCAGATCCGATCGTATCCCTCAAATGAGATGAATACCCCTTACCGGCAGGAAGCAAGAAAGATCTGATCGGAACTGCTGCCCTTCTACACGAAGCAGCGCTGACGGAACGAAAAGGAGTCGAAGGAGATCGGCAAGCGAAGCGCGTCCGTACCTTCGCGTTTGAAATTTTTTGTGTGGAGCGTGCTTTGTCGTTGGGCTCTCCTTCTATACAGTCTATCGGAGGTCTTTGCATGGAGATAAATGGGTTTTTAGTGTTTTTACTTCTTACCGGCCAATTGATCGGAACCGTGCCATTAGAGAGCCCCTTTCGTGGACTTGGTCTAACAAAGTAAAAAATATGAGAAACTTGGACGGGCGGGCGGCGGGCTGAGTTTGTTTGGTCGCTCAATGTGTTTTGATCGATAGTTTGGTACGTTGGTGGGCGGCATTTAGAGTGTTAGCGTATAGTACATAAAAGAATTCTATAAATTGGGATGTTATTTCAAATGCATTGTATTTTGGGAATATATTTAAAAATTATTGTAATTTATTTCAAGTCTATTTGAACGTCATCAGATTTAAGCAAATTTAAAAGACAATTTTAATAAAATTGTATAGGTTTAGGGTTTATTCGTTGCCTGCAACCAGTTGTTAGTTATCGCGGACACTCGTCGTTAATCGTCATCATCGTGGCCACCCGTCATCAGCCACTATTGCTCACCTCCACAAGTGGACCACTAGCATTGTCGTCGTCCACTGGTCGTATCCATCACCTCTAGTTGTCGACCACAATCACAACTACAGTTACAACTATCATCGTCACTAGTCACCAAGGTCTTTGTTTCCCATATCAGAAGTCACCTCGAATCAACTATTGTTTTAAATATAATATTATTTTGCTTTGTATTCTCCTTTTTTTTTAATGCTTTGTATTGTCATTACTTCAACCTAAATAAAAATAAAATCTTAAATGTGTGCTATACTCGATCAACATAACACAAAACTCAAAAGAAATACCTTATGTTTTAATTTTATATTGCATTAATTTTGGTGTTGTTAGTATTTGGTCCAATTTGAAATTAATTTTGTTTCTTGATTTCTGTTTTAAGGAGTTGGTCAGTCTTTTTTAGAGGAATGGACCTATAAATAGAAGGCAATCCATTTGAATCCAAAGGAGAAAATGAATAAATTATGTTCAAATCGTGAGTTCTCTCTCTCTCTCTCTCTCTCTCTCTGTGTGTGGGAACCAAGAAGAGCAGGAGGCTCTTGATTTAGGCAAGCTAGCCAACGATGGAGGTGTAGCTGCAGGGGGGGTGGCTAGAGGAGAAGAAAGGGTTGTTGCCTTAGATTCAATTTACGACATCAAGAATTTTTCAATGTCCATTTTCCTACAATATAATTCTAAAAAAGTGTGCATTACTTTTTCAACAAATCAAACAACCTCTAACTCAATTGGTAAGAGATTCCAAATTCTTCAAATTTTCGCATAGGATTTATAATTTACAAATAAAAAGCTTAAATTTCTAAAACCCTATATTCAAACTATTTTACACCTAACATCCCCAAAAACAAAAAGCCCCTTAATGTTTTGAAAGAAGCTTCTATGTATTGAATTCTTATATACTACAAATCAATGTTCAAATAGAATGTTATATTCCTTAATAAACTTTATATAAAATGTATTTAACTTTATAATTTGATTCAATGGGCTCATAAAAAAATGTATGACTCTTTTTTCATTTTTATTGGATCCTCAAAAAAAAAAAAAACTAAATGATTTTTATGAAATTTTTTGAGAGAATATGGCAATACTTATGTTAAAAAATTGCAATTAAGGATAAATTGAGTAGGGATATCTATGTCAAAATTTAGATGTAGTAGTTTCAAAAAATTTTAATTTATTGAGATGAATATAATAAGAAATTATGATAGTATGCCATATTGTAGTCAAAATTAAAGAAATATGATTGTTATTTGTTTCATTAGAGAAATAAGTCTGAAAGGTTTGATTATGACCAAAATGCTCTTCTTTTTTAACTATGTACTAGTTATTTAAAGTCTATTGCAAATAACATTTATTCAAACAAGATAGGAATCCTATTCAAGGATAATTCGAACCATGTTCAAAGTAATCCAAATAGGGTTTGAATAGGGTTTATCTATGATTGATACAACTAGTGTGTTCCAATAATTTTAATAAAGTAGATAACAAGGTTGATACAAAATATGCAATCACAATAGTTATAAATACAATATTTTATAAGCTACAAATAACAAAGTATAATTCATGATCTATAACACAACGGAGAGCTATTAAAACATTTATAATATAGCAAATTATAAGATAGATACAATAGATCAGTGTAAATAAGTAACTATAACACATCACAATAACAAGCATTACATCATTGCATAACCAATCGACAACATGATCTTAAGACTTACGTTAAATTTATCTAGTTATAATGTTCTTTCAATAATAAAAAGAGTATAGTAAAAATTATTATTAAGGTGGTGGACACCTCACCTAACAAATAAATCAGTTATTGGCTCTTTCTTCATATTAGCCACACTTATATTGCACTGGTTCCTTTTACCTATTTGAATGTGTTATATCTATGTTTCGATTCTTAGACTTCACGAATGAATATAACATGATAACTCTATTTATTTTAATAAGAACTTTCAAGTGTCTTCATTTTCTACTAGATATAGATTTTAAGCATATGAATCTAGGAATACTTCATGCTTATAAAACTTTTTAATATAAGTTATAATGAATGAACTCAGTAATTAGTTGCAACCAACGTATGTTCGCATGGGAGACTGATAATATCAAACTTCATATATGTAAATGTCTGCTCCCTTAAATCAACATCAATTTCAAGATAATTGTTAAGGGCATGCAGTTCAATTTGACTTACTAATTAGTTATATAATAAAACTTTAAGTTTTTTATAGGAACTTTCCTAATTTTTTTGTTGATATAGTTTTTGTATTTGGTGCAATGATGCATATATATATATATATATATTCAAACTAGAGCGTCAATCCCACAACGTAGCTGAATCCCTATGACAAAATTCATTCATCGATCTTGTAGCGCATCAAATCCTGTGCGTGATTATATATATAATCAATAACATGCCTAATATGTTCGACGAGGCTTTTGCTCAGTTCAACTCATAAAGAAAATAAGCTCAAAATAATTAGTTAAAATTATCTCAATTATTTAATGAAAGAATCTAATATAAATTTCTTAATAAGTCAAATAAGAACTATTATTGAACCAAGAGCTGTTTTTAAGAGGCATATGAGCAACCAATTGAGCATTTTCTTGACTAATTTATAGGCAAACAATTTAGCCATCAGCTTGATTGTTTCGTTTCATTTCAATTTTTTTTGCCCCCATCACTGTTATGTGCTGGCCTGGTTTTTAATTTGTTGCTTGGCCTTCAATGCCAACTGAAATAGATTAAGTAACAACAAAAGCTGCAATGATCGATTTGCGTACTAACCAGAAAAAAAAAAAAAAGTGAAACAGATTTTTTACTTTAAGAATCAATAAAAAAAGTTGTCCTAAACAAAACCTTTATTAGATGCAAACTTTGAACATATTTAAGTTGCGTGCACGCGAGCAAGCAAGAAATTAACTCAATAGATGATTCTGATGGACAAGAGAATCTTGAGCTAAGACATCCCTTCCTCTTTTCTTGTATTATAGATAATTTAAATTAGCCATTATCAAGAAAAAAAAAATATGAGAAATCAGGGCATGTTTTTACTAAGCTCAGCAATAAATGAGTTTTTTTTTTCGCGCTTTGCTACTTAATAGTTGGAGTTTTATAAGAGACTCAAAAGCTAAGCGCGCTTGTAAAGGAGCACTCCTAGGATGGGCTACCTCCTCAGAAGTTACACAAATGGCAAATAACTGTGAGACATTAAGCCAAAGCGAATAATATCTCGATAATTGAAAATTTGTTCTGTTATATTTGAATGACTTAAATTTTAACTTGATTATTATCTAAATAAATACAAACTATTCACGATTGATTGGCAGTCATATGTATTTACACTTCATACTTTTTTTTTTCTATTTTGCCCAAGAAAAGAAGTCACTACGATATAATTTTGAAGAGCACGAAAGCAAGCAAGTCAAGTTATCTAAAATTTTTATTTTTATTTAAAAATTTTTTTGGAAACCCCACAGAATGAGCCTACGCATTAATACCTAATAAGAGTTACAAGTCCTTAAAGGTCTTCAAGCCCTCTAGAAATACAACAATTGAATGAAAATCTATGGGCCACGAGAACCAACAAAATACACAAAGAAAACCAAAACAAAATCTAAAGAAAAAACAACAATAGGAGCCCTCGAACATCCAGCATCTGATCCACCAAAAGGCTCCATCTGTAGCAACAACAACAACAACAACACAAAAACAATGCCAAAACCACAGGCATAAAATCCCACAAACAAAACCAGAGCACAACGAATGGTCTCCACCAAGAGCAGCCATAATGCCCGAGACTAAAGTGAATAAATACCTGCAAGGACAAGCAAAACCAAAGAGCAAGAGGGGAACCCCACAACCACTTACCACCAAACAAAGGTGCCAACAACAATGCCGCCAATTCCGCAAAGAACAAAACATAGAACTACCTTCTACATTTCCTCCTACAACACTTACGACCACGGGAAAGAGCTTTCTTCGTAACCTTACAAACATCTAACCCATACAATTCCTTGAGAGAGTCTAACTTATGAAGTTATCTCAAATGTTATTCTGCTTGGATCATTAAGTAAATGTGCCAAAATTTTCATTTTGTGCTCGACTTGTTAACTAAGTTCTTGTTCATATTTTACTTATTAAATATTAGGAGCTCATGAAAATTAATTGAATTGGAACTAGTCATCAAATCAAATTCCAACAATGTGCTTCTTTAACTACCATATTCTCCAAACACTGACCAATAAAATAGCCACCACATAATTTAAAAACATTATTTCTTTAGTCATACTCTCCAAATTTTATATTAATGCATTAATAATTTGCTAAAAATGTGATTGAAGCTTCTAATCACTTAATCTTAAACAATATGGTATTTATAAAGAAATTTATTATTAAATTTACTGAAAATAAAAAAATATTAATATTATTTTAAAAGGCCTATTTTATTTTATATAACTTTCATAAATAAATAAATATATTAATAAATTAATAAATTTGATATAATTTATAAAAATATAAAAATAAATATTTTATAAATAAATACATAAAAACTCTGTGGTGAATTTGTAAAATGACATTACAAATTTCATAATGGTGATTGTTTAACCTATCAATTATTTTACAAATTTTGATTTAAACAGTTCAATTACTTGAGATGACTCTCGCCAACTACAGCAACCACCTTACAGGCCAAAGCTCATGATTGCCTCTTCAGCCTTCGAACGCAAGCGACGGCAACCCGTCAACTGCTTCACCGCCTCTCCCTTTCTCTCGAAACCCTAATCTTTCCCCTCTTCTGTCTCCTCTAAATGAGATCCATAGCCCAACCCCCAACCACTTCACGATACCCTGATACAGGTTGGTTAAGATGGCCGCCGGCGATTTCCTGGCCGCCGCTATTGCCTTCGCGGCGGCGGTATCAACTGCGAGTGGGCAGTTCGATAGCTGCACCTCCGATGTGGCCATTCTTCTCCCTTTTCCGTTCAATGCCTCTGTCTTCACCTGCCGCCCCATTTGGAACAGCTTCATCCTCAGGGTAATCTCCTCAGCACGTAGCTAGGGCTGTAAATGTTTGAAGCTTTAATCAAATTTAGCTAATTCTATGTTTGATACTAATGATTTAAACATATAGGGGCTGTTTGGTATAGGGTTGGATTCAATGATTTATTAAATCCGGATTTCCAGGATTTAGTAAAGCCTAGGCTCATAAATCCTGAAAAGTGTTTGGTATGACAAATTTTAAATCCCGTTAAATTCAGAGAAGTTGTTTGGCAACTGATTACAGAGGGGGCGCCACCGGAAGAAGTAAATCCAAATAGGAATGTGATTATGATTTAGACGGATTTACCGGATTTATGCCGTATGGATTTGCTGGATTTATAATGGTGAGGATTGAGTTTGGCTGGATTTACGCTAAATCCTACTAAAATCGACGGACAAATCCGATACCAAACACCCCCATAGGATTCTTATCTGTAACTAAATTTATAGATTTTAATAAAAGTTTATGTAATTTACTCCCTAATTCAAAGCAAAAACGCTGCAGTATTCCCAGAGTCAAGGTAACATTTTGAGTATTGTGCTCTCTGCTCCCTACACCTCTGGCTGGGTTGGTATGGGATTTTCGAATGATGGATTGATGGTTGGCTCAAGTGCGATGGTTGGATGGATTGGAAGAGCAGGCAAAGCACATATCAGACAGTTCTACCTGCGCGGCCAGTCCAGTTCTCAGGTTATTGTAAATGAGGGCCGTTTGTTGCGAAGTGGTGTTAAGCCTGCTGTTCTTCTTTACGGTTCAAGCATATATTTGGCGTTTCAGTTGAAATTTTTAGCTCCTGTTGCTGAGAAGAAGCTCCTCTTTGCCTTTTCAACTGAAACTCCAAATGGTTTCCACCTCACAAAGCATGATGATAAAGTCTCCATTACCTTCGACTTCTCAGCAGGTTTGTCCCTTTCCTCAAATACAATCTGTCAAGTTTTCACCACTAAATAATTGCTTATGAGACTGTTTTTTAGGTGATTACTTGCATATCATAAAATTCTTATATGTTTATATATCTAACATTTAAATTTTTACATTTATTTTTATAGCACTATATCAATTTTAATTTATTTAAAGTAAAATATTCTTTTTCATTGATGTGATTTAGACATTAATGATGTATATGAGCAATTATAAAAAAATTAGAAATTAGATATGTAAATACATAAGAATTTTATGATATGCATGCAAATCTTCTTTTTTTCTTAAAATTTGAAATTTACAATTTGCTGTCATACGAATTAGTTTTGCTTCTTTCTTTTGGAAGAAGCTAAATTGCAAGTAAGACAACTTTGAAATATAATTTTGCTCCTCTTATGCCGTTTATGATGTTAAGGATATGCGGCAATGATCAAACAGTTATCTAATTAATCAATTCACAAAAAAAGGTACTTGAAGCCATAGCCCTATAGTTGGGGGCAAATTATTACGTGCGGCGTCCGGATTCGCCTCCAAACAGTCTGAAAATCGCACGTAATAATTTGCCGTATTTGGGGACCCAGCTTCTCATAGTGGTGGTGGCACTCTTTCGAGGGCACTAACCCACCTAATTTCTAACAAATTGCCCATATGGCTCAAATATATGGCATGTAAACTCAACTATTAGATCAAATATTTGAATAATTTTAAAATTAAATTCATTAACCTAAAATGAATTAAGATTTCAAAATAGTTAAAATTAAATTTAAATTTAAGAGTGATATATATAATATGATGATTAAATAGTAAATAAATAGTTGTAGTTTTTAAAAATTAAAAATGTTGTGCCACATAAAGTTTAAATTAAAATTGTGTCAGGTATCATGTGATGGTGTTAATTCCTGGTCTCATATCCACTAGTACAGTACATAAAATATATATAAACTGTATAATGTTACAGGGATGTGTCAACTGACCCTATGTGGACGGCCACAGAGCTAGTTATGCGACCAAAATAATCATCAATGAAACATATTATATGTTATGAAACAACATGTGGTACTCCGATCCTTTAAATGGATAAAAAAATAATATTATTAAATTAAAAAGAGAGGGTATTATGGTTTTCTCTGACTACTTTTTCCATGTAGGATGTATCTCTTTGTGAGAAGAGATTATTACGTGCGGAGATCGGAAACATAGAACCATCATGTTTTGTTTATGTGAACAGTAAAAAGCATTGCGGTAAACAATAAAAGTACATTGATGAATAGTAATTGTGAGTTCATCATTGCGCTTTTAATGTTTACAAAGATAAATCTGGACTGTTCTCTATGTCCAGTCTCTGTACTTAATAATCTCTCCCTTGTGAGGTGGGAAGCTTACCAGAATCCCATTCTTTTCTCAAAGGAAAGCCACATGGATGCGATTGGACCCTATATAGTGGCTTTTTGACAAGGAACACATTTCCAAGATAGCTTTTGAAAAGAGATAGTTGGGAAGTATCTATAGCTAGAAATGAGCTGAATAGTTGAATACCATCAAAGAACATCTTAAGTATATATTAAAATTATGATAGGATTTAATGAATAATATAGAAAAACTTGCTCATAATTGGCATGCAAACCAGCCTATTTTGTGCCCTATTTCATTTTGCAAATACTTTTCTAGTCTCTTAAAAATATGTATATCTGTGCTACAGGATCTTCATCTGGCTCCTCATATCCCTACAAACTAAAAAGGAATCATGGTGCATTAGCTATATTTGGCTGGGGTGTATTGCTACCTATTGGCGCAATAATTGCAAGATATTGCAAAGAGTGGGATCTCCTATGGTTTGAACTTCATTTAGCATTTCAGTTTGCTGGATTTCTCTTTGGGCTTGCTGCTGTGGTTACTGGAATTTCACTGTACAACAAAATACATGCAGATGTCAGAGTGCACCGAGGAATCGGCATCTTTCTCCTTGTACTCGGTATCCTTCAGGTCTGTTTAAACGGCTTTCTCTTACAATTCCTGACATTTAACTTCAAACTATTTAGATACTCTCTATTTCGTCCTTTTTCTTTTATCTTATCACAGAGAGATACAATAACGCCTAAATTGCCATTTATGCTCTCTAGCCAGATCATCATATATTACAAATAACTTTTTCATAGACTTAGGCTCTGTTTGGGACGGCTTTTTTGCTTCTTCTTAAAGCCGCTTTCTAGTACTAGAAAGTGGCTTTAAGAACCAGTAAAAAAGCCGTTCCAAACAGATCCTTAAGCTTATATAATTTGTTTACATTCTTATATTCGTCTAATTAAAATTGATCACCTACCACACAGATTCTTGCATTTTTTGTTCGCCCCGACAAAGACTCGAAGATCCGCAGATACTGGAATTGGTACCACCATTGGGTTGGGAGACTTTTACTCTTCTTTTCAGCAATCAATATTATTCTTGGCATCAAAGTTGGTGAAGCAGGAACTCCCTGGAAGGTTGGATATGGCATTAACCTCACGATCATCTTATTAGCTTGCATTTTTGGAGAGATCATGTTATGGGGTAGATTATCAAAGAAAACTATAGCTGATCCACCTTCTTAATGTTGCAGAGCTTTGAAAGCAAGGTAGATGATTCTTCTTTGTCACAATTTGCTTTAGATCAGTATTGAACAATCTACACAAATGATCTTTTTCTGCTTTCTTTGTCTCTGTAATTATGGTGTGGTGACCTCCGATTGAGAAAGTTATGATGGATATCACTGTTTGTCTCTTTCTTAAAGCATATTTTTTCATTGATCATTTCAGTTCTTGTAACTTCATTTATGTTTTGTTTGGGATAATTTCGTTACTGTTTACTAAAATAATTTTTTAGTACAAAAGTTTATAACTCAAAAAATTTTTGTATTAAAAAGTTGTTTTAAAAAGCAGTAAGAAAGTTGTCCCAAACAAAATCTTAACTAGATTGAATAGCTTTATATTCTGCTATATTTTGATTTTGGTTGGACCTTTTTTTGTTGTAAATGTCTTAAAATTATATCAATGTTTTCTAGTACAATTTACATTAGAATAGGCTTTCAAATCATTAAATATTTTGAGATTTTTGTTGCATATGAAGACTTTGTATTCCATTAATTTCAAATAAATTTAATTATTTTCAAGCTCATCTTGATATATTTATCAAATTTTCTTAATTAATTTTATCTATTTATCATATTTTTAATTAATTTGTCAGTTTGTATCATAATCATTCATTAATGATTAAATTAAATAGTTAATTAGTCTACTAATTTTTTTTAATTAAATAAGTAAACATTTTCTAGTTATATATTAATTTTTTGCTAATATAAAATGACTTAGAATACATTAGTATGCTTAGAATTAATTATCTTGATTGGTCTCCATGCTATCTGACCTATTCAATTAGTTTATTATCCTTATTATTACCTGTTGAATTCATCTAATTATTGTTATACAACTCTTTCTCCATTGGACAACACTTAATTTCTTTATTTTGGTACTATTGTCATCCAAGACTAGCAAATTTCTATTTTCTTCTTTCATTTTGTTGATAGAGCGTAGCAGCCTTTCTTACTTCTTGTTCTGCAGATGCGACATTAGTCTTTTTTTTTTCAACTTGTTTAATATTCCATTTTATGTTTACAATAATAGTAATGTTTTATATGATTCCTCTTATAGTTGGCTCACTCTTTAGTTCAAATTTTCTTTTATTTCCTTCTCTAGAAAGTTGATGAGTGTCGACCTCACTGATTATCTTAATATAAGTATAGTTGCAACTGAATTTATAGTTTCTACTCAGACTTTTCTATTAAATTCATTAAATTATTCTCAAAGGAGAATTTTTCAATATATTTTTGCTGAAAAGAATGCTCGAGTCTTCTCAATCTTTTTAACCTTGATTAACTACTCTATAACAATATCCAGGGCATTTTAGGCATTTTAAGTTAGTGTAAGGGGTGGCCTTAATTTCTTTAAAAAATAACATGGCAGTTCCAGCTTTGAGGTGTTTATAAATTAACCATATAAACTAGGGATATGGCCAACTAGCCATTTTTTCCTCTCCAACTTCATTACTCTCTTTATCCTTCATTACTCTCTTTATCCTTCATTACTCTCTTTACTGTGATGAGAATGGCCTCAAGAAGGGCCCTTGGACTCCTGAAGAAGATCAGAAGTTGGTTCATTTGTTGACCCCTGTACCAAATGAAAAAAAGAAGAAGCGTATCGCATACCTGTCGGGACGTCCGACCAATGCCTAATCAAGCCCTAGCCAAGATCTTCAGCCCGTCGATGACATTTCTTTTATGTTGGATCGGAAGTTACGACATTTTGATCAAAAGTAGGATGGGAGTTTACTCGCTGTGAAGGTAACTTTCTCTTTGTTGCGAGCTTCTTTAGCTCCTTCGTTGTTGTTCGACTTCACTTCTCTAGCGATATTCCCTTCCAGTTAGATCAGAAGCAACGACAGGAGCACAATCGGTGTGAAGGTAGCTTTCTACTCATCGCACGCTTCTTTGGCCAAATCTTTAGCCAAATCTAGTGAGTCCATCGAATCCAAAGAGGAAACAGAGGATTAATCCCTCTAATCTGACTTAAATCCTATTTAATTAATTATGATTATTCATAATTAAGTGCAATTAATTATAAATAGTTATAACTTATTATTAATTATGATTAATTTTAAATAATTATAATTAATTACTAATTATGATTAATTTTAATTAATTATATTTAGTTATTTTTTATCTAATAAAGGAAAAAAAAAGAAAATCAAAAATAAAGGAAAAAAAAGAAAAAAGAAAAAAAAAAGAAGATAAAGAAAAAAGAAAAGAAAAGAAACATTCTCTTGCCTCGATCAGCACGGTCGTCGGCGACTCATATAAAGTTCCAAATCTCGTCTTCGGCGCGTGTAAAGAGCCGACAGACCTAAGCACGGTAGGGGGAATCCAGTGCAACACTTACAATGAGGCTGGTAGGCCCTATACACTCTATTTTAATATGGTGGTGACAACCTTAAGTACTCGTACGCTCCTAAGTGCATGCGGGAAAAGAAAACTGTACATTTTTTAATATGTGCCTTGGAGACCCTATACATGCTATTGTAGTGTGGTGGGATTGAAGACTACGATTATGGTGTCTCAAGATACCTACCATACAAGTTCTTATTGCATGGTTGGAAGGCCCAACTCCCCTACATTTCTCCCAAACGGGGGATATGTTGGGATGCTTCCAAAATTTATAACAAACATAAGACCTATACTTGAGCAAAAAAGACAATAATAAATGTACAACGAACTTGAATGAAATGTAGGAAACCATACTCAAACTGAATATACAAGTGGTACCTCATAGACCCCATACACGCTCTTGTAGCGTGGTGGTATTGAAGACTACAGTCACGATGTCTGAGGATACTTACCATACACGCTCTTGAAGCGTGGTGGGATAGGGCCAGCTCCCCACATTTCCCCCAAATGGGGGATATGCCGGGATGCCGCCGAAATTCGGACTTAAGCAGTAATACATAGGACCTAGACCTGTACATGAATGCACATAATCTGAATAGGTGCATAAGAGACTTGTATAATAGGGGACCTGAATTGAACAACAAGGAATAGATACCTAAATCTTAAAATGCATAATTAAGATCAAAATGCAAATAATAAATGCATTCAAATAAATATAAACAAACAAACAGGGGACTAGTGGTGGAGAACTTTCAGATGTGATTGACTTGCAAGCGACATCGGTAAATTACAAAATGTATAAGTACCACCTATATGCAACAATCAAAGGCTTGTTGTGAAAATAATAATCAACCTGTAGATTGAAAAGGTAACACTGACGATTGATGAAATAAAATCTATCATGCATACAATAAATCACATCAAGACAACAATCACTGAATACATTAATGCCTTACAAATGATATCAACAGCTTTTGTGCAACTCGTCACTGCAATAATCCATTAAAACTCCTCCCGAAAGCAAAAAGCAACAGCAGCAAGTGGCGCTGGGAGATGGGGCACAAATTTTTGGAGCCCACATCATTGCATCCAGAAGCATGGCTATGGCAATTAGAGAGCACTTCCTAAGATTTCTAGTATCGTCTTCTTCCTCCCTTTGTCTTTAAAATATAAATCATTTTGTATGAATATGAGCATTGATAAAGAAATAATGTTATTGCTCACTTACAAGATTTAATAGATGTGGGAAGAGCTATAGGTTAAGATGGACCAACTACTTGAGGCCATATATCAAGAGGGGCAAGTTTTCGTCTGAAGAGGTACAAACCATCCTCAACCTTCACCTCTATCCTTGGCAACAAGTAACTAATCTTTTCCACGCATAACCTTTCTTTTATTATTTGTAGATATATAGTAAACATGATTAGAACATGATGATTTCTTTTTCATTTATTTTCTATGTAAAATTAAAATCATTAAATGTTAGGGATTTCGAAGGTGTTTGTGTGGTTTAAAATCAATAACGATTTCTAGCTTCATCCACTAAATTGCATAACCTATTAAATTTGTCAAATTTTAAAGTATGTTTTTTTTTTAAATTACCTTTTAAGTGAAAGGAATGCGTGATAAGATCAAGTTTATGAGAGCTATTATATGGAAGAATGCAAAAATAATTGAGGATAAAATCTCTAGAATTAAGATTGAGTAATTAAAATAGAGAAGCATCTCAAGAGTGTTAGTGATAAAATGATATTATGGAGTCTTAAATGACAAATTTAATAAAATAGTGATTAGATCAACTATGCTTTATAGATCTAAGCATTTAGTAATTAAAAGACTATTGATATGTAAGTTGTGCATATAAAAATGAGAATGTTAAGTTAGATGTATTATGAAATTAGAAAGAAAAATTAAATATATTATATAAATTGTTGAAGTAGCATCTGTTAGAGATTAGGTGATTAAAAATAAGCTTAGGTGGTATAGACATGTACATAAAATGAAAGTAGAAAATACAACTCATAGAAGTATGAATAAAGTTAGTGTTAAAGGCTTAGGAAGGAAAAAAAATACAACCAAGATAATATCAATACCATTTTTTAAAAATAAGAAAAAAATACAACAAATTTTTTTTAAAAAATACAACCGAGGCTTAACCATTTTTTTAAAATAAGAAAAAAATACAACAATTTTTTTTTAAAAAATACAACCGAGGCTTAAAAACCTTCCTTCCAAGTCCCCCATTTATTTTATCTTGAAATTAACAACAACTCAACCTCCCTCTAATTAATTAAGGTGTTCCACTTTTTTTTTTCTCTGCATGTATATTTCACTTCCACTCTTTCGAAGAACATATCACAAAAGAAAACAAATGGATAAAAATATTGAAAAGAAAGAGTTTTCTTTTTAGGATAAGATTTCTAACCTTTTTAAGTTATATTAAAATGTGAATTCTGTTTAATAATATAGAAATAATATATACAATTATATGATAAAATGTTTTTCGGATCCACATCAACTGAGAACCTTTTTTGGGAAAAAAAATTGAAAGAAACATATTATAGAAATAATACAAGTATATGGTTAAAATTATTTGTAGGAATAAATTTATAAAATGAAATTATTATTTTAAATGAAATATAATAATAAAAAAATAAATTTCTCTCAAATTAATTATGTTAAGATATTTTATTTATTATTCATGTTTAAAATTTTATTAATGTACAATTAAAAAAAAAACTTATAACTTTCAAAGAATTCCAACTGAAAAAATAAATAGTTTGTTTATTAACTAATAAATAGAATTTAATATTAAGATTATT